TTCCGGTAACCTCACCGGAAGCACTTTTTCATCAAAAAAAGATGGCGGCGCCCAGCTAATGCCGGTACCGGGCCGCACCATAAAAAAGGTTGGGGATACCGGGCCGCGGCGTAAAAAAGGTTGGGGATCACTGACTTATACTACCGAATCTCAGTATTATACGAGGATATCAGTAAGACCATGTCCTGCTTGCTTAACCATCTCCATAGAAAACTTGACTTTTTTATTTTTAGTCAAAGGGGGCAGTTAACATGACTTAGTTGAGATTTTATACCAGTTAAAAGTAGGTAATTTGGCAAAATATATTCTGATTTAATACCAGTTCTTTTCCTGTTTGGTTGAAAAGATGGGGAAATTAGAATGCTATTGCTTTATTTTTAAATGCTACTTTTAGTAACAGTAATAGGAACAGAGATGGAACATGCTGTAGACAATTGTTTATCTTATTTGCAGCCAGCATGGCTCTCAGTGGACTTTGATAACTGGAGAGACTGGGAAGGAGATGAAGAGGTGGAAGCAGCCATGGTCGAACAATATGCAGAGGTGAGCACAATTATCAGATCAAGGCAGAATTCCAAAACTTACCTGACTCACTCTGAATTAGAAAAACTGAAACCTGAGAAAGTAGAAAGTGGCTATTCTGTATCCCAATTATAGTGCTAACTAATAGAGATCGTAGGAATGATGAGAGGCTTTTACATATATACAGAATGCAATTATTCTATTTAGCAGTGTCACAAGTAATAGCTAGAAAAACACCATTTACCAAAACAGGACTGTACTGCTATTATACATGCCATAAATTCTTGTATTATTTATGCACCATTTATACATGAAGTATTGAATATTGCAAATGTTTGCTCATATTTAGGTAAAAGGCTCTAATAAGAGAGCAAATAATATTAACCTTTCCCTAGTTCTGAGTTGTTAGAAATGATAGACTACATGCTAACCTGCCCTCTTTTTACAGAGCAAAAAAGAATCATGTAAATCTAGTTAGCCAGATTCAATACTATTACTCATTGATTAACATAAATAATAGTAGATATTTTAATAACTTTTTATGCAAATAACTGTTAATAATATAGCTATATTATTTGGGTAGGAATATCCTCCACATTTCTCAATATTAAATAGCAGCACTGTTTGCTTTAATCTCCTTGTTCCCTTACAGCTCATGCAAAAAGTCACTAAAAAAGATCCACCCCCAGCTATGGATGATCTTGATGTAAGTATGCAGGAAATAGCATCTTTAACTACTGTATTTCTGAACTTCTGCTTGCTTGACTCCATACTATACTCCATACTAGTTTGTCAGATTTGCAAGTTAACATGGCTGGAGAGCTGGGATGGAATATGGCTTGTGCTTCACTAGTATTTCAAGCCATTGTGCCAGGACTTGCAGAAGTTGATATAAACATTTTAAAAGTATCTCATTTCATAAATTTGGGTTATGTTTCTCTCTCAGTGAAATTACTAATCTTTCTCTGTACGCGCTTAATAATTTTAGGATGATAGCTGAACGGGCACACCTCTCTGACTAGACTGCTATCTTAGTTTACTACTGCTACAGTCAGCAGTGACATGGGATTATGCTACATACTGGCTAAAGCCTAGATCAAGGAAGCAGATGCGACATGGCAAAGTGTTTCAAATGTATTTATTTTCAATAAGTATAAAAATATTGCAATGTAATTTTTCTGGATGACTTTAATAAACAACTCTTTGCACCAACTCTGGGGGTGAAGTTGGCCCTAAAGACCCAGCAGTTGTTGTAATCCATTCCCTATTAAATGTAGAAAGAAACGAGACTCAGGTAGTAGTCTTTGTAATTTGGATAATTACAAGAAACTCTTCGTAAATTTTTGTGAAAGAAAATGATCATTCAATAATCAAATACTAGCTTCAGGTTCTGACCAGTTCTGGAGAACCGGTAGCGGAAATTTTGAGTAGTTCGGAGAACCGGTAGCAGAAATTTTGAGTAGTTCAGAGAACCAGCCAATCCCACCTCTGACTGGCCCTTTCCCCCATCTATTCTCTGCCTCCCGAGTCCCAGCTGATTGGCTGGGTCTTCTTTTGTTGCCCTGTACAGGAGAATGGAGCTGAAAAGCAGGTTAGTAGGGTGGGGAAGGAATGAGATTTTGCAGTAACCTTCCCCTGCCATGGCCACCAAGCAATGCCACACCCACCAAGCCACGCCCACAGAACCGGTAGTAAAAATTTCTGAATCCCACCACTGGTGTTGCCCCTTCTATTTCATTGAGTGGAATTTCATTTGATCTTTGAAGTTCAGTCATAACTGGGAACCATCTGGAAATACTCAGCTGTTGAATAAGCTGGATAACAACAACAACAACAATTACCTTAACAGTTGTTCGGTCCTTGGTTAGGACTTGAAATATTAAATTTTTACCAGTGCCATACTGTAAATTGAATTGATGATGATGGCAACAACAACAATAATAATAGTAATAATAAAATAAAACACAACTAGGAACTGCCTATATACACAAATGCTATTTTAATAGCTCTTAGGCCCTTGGGTGGGACCTGAACTGTTAAGTTTTTATCAATTCCAGATTGTTAATCAAATTGAAGATTAACAACATTAACAACAATAATAATAATTGAAGGCTTCATTTTGACTGCCCAAGAACAAGATCTGTAGACCAATTCCATGAAAACAAAAATTTAACATGTAAGTAACAACAGCAAGTGCCGCTTATGCAGCGAGAAAGATAAACAGTGGATCATCTTATCAGTGGCTGTAGCAAAATCTCACAAACTGATTATTTACAACGTCATGATCAAGTTGCCAAAATCATACATTGAAAGCTTTGCCAGAAGTTTGGGTTCAAATGCAGCAAATATTACTGGGAATACCAAATTGACAAAGTTCTTGAAAATGAACAAATCAAGATCCTGTGGGACTTTCAAATCCAAACAGATAGACATCTGGCACACAACACACCTGACATCACTGTTGTAAAAAAGAAAAAGTCTGGTTCATTGATATTGTAATACCAAGTGATACACAAATTGAGGAGAAACAGCTAGAAAAAAAGAACAAAACATTGTGATTTACAAATGGAAGTTGAGCGATTATTGAGGAAGAAATTAATGGTTGTACCAATAAGTAATAGGAACCCTTGGAGTAATACCCAAAGGGCTGCCTAGATAAATGGAAATTTTGACCTTATTAGACTTCAATATCCCGACTACAAAAAAAACACCCTACTTAGAATTGCCTAAATCAGATGCTACTTTAACAGCTCTTAGGTTCCTGGTTAGGTCTTGAATTGTTAAGTTTTAATCTGTCCCACTGTGAATCGAATTATTATCATTATTATTATTATTATTATTTTTATTATTATTATATTGATGTTCAGTTGATAGTTTCATTTTTAATGAATAAAAGTTTATAATAATAATAATAATAATAATAACAACAACAATAATAATACCATTCTTGAAGAAGGCAGTATTTTAGTGAATCATTTCCCTAGCAGAAAATTATATGGGTGTAGACCCTTGTGTTACCTTAATTGGTGAGCATATTTATCATTCTTTAGCATGCTTCTTGGTGACAATCCTAAACCTTTTGTGATTTTATAGCAGAATTCTTATGCTAGTATCAGATCTGGGTTACAAACATGGAGGCCAGCAGGACAACTCCCTTGCCTTAAAAATGGGAACTAAAGTGGAAATCCAATCCTCAACTATGGTTTCCCCATACCTTTAATTCTTTCCCTATAGGAAGGTTTCTCAATTTCAGCAATTTTAGGATGGACTTCTATTTCCAGAATTCCCCAGCCAGCATTCTCTGAATAGAAATCAACACATCTTAAAACTAGATGCTGATAAACACTGATCTATACAAATTTATTCAATTTATATGCCACCCATCTCTCCTGACTATAACATTAAGCTGAATGTTGTAGGAGCCATAAACTATTGGGCTAATAGATCTGGGCTTCAAAAAATCCAGATCACTTGACACAACAAATATATTGATAAAACTCTCTCTATTCTTTGCTGTCATTTATAGTCATTCTGATTTCCAAAGTCCCAAGCCTACACATATTACCCTTCTGTTTAGGCGCAGTCAATTGTTATTTGTTCTATGGACAATAATAGAACCTCTTTTTACATGATATATGAAATCAGTCTCTGATAACATCCTCAACAAGGGGCTTTCCTGAAAGTACTGTTTAATCCCAAGGCTGGAAACTTGTGAAGCAAGATCTCTTATGTTTTCACTAAAATGAAAGAGCAAACAATGAATTGTGGATTGTTACTGCTGTTTTTGTCTAGGCTGTTACGCTTTACATTAATGATTTTAAATTATGTATATTTGATGTTGTAAGCTGTTCAGAGTTCTTGGAGTGGGCAACTATAATAACTATATCTAAACAACAACAATAATGGATGTGAAGGAAAAATTAACATTGGAAGCACTAAGGTATTTGACAAAGCAGACCACAACCTACTTCTTGGTAAGCTAGAAAAATATGGGATAGAGAGCATCACCACTAGATGGATTCGTAATTGGCTGATAAATTACATTCAATGTGTAATCCTTAATGGAACTACATCCACATGGAGGGAAGTAAGCAGTGGGGTACCCAAAAGTTTTATTTTAGACCTAGAACTCTTCAACATCTTCATAAAAGATTTAGATGAGGGAATAGGAATTTGCAGATCACATCAAACTCGCAGGAGTAGCCAACACCCCAGAAGATAGACTCAAGATGCAGAAGGATCTCGACAGTTGCACACTGGGTCCTATAATTCAGTGGTGAGAAAAGTAAGGTTTTATACTTAGCCAAGAAAAAACAAAGGTATGGGTATAGAATAGGTGGAATCTGGCTCAATAGCAGTAACTACAAGAGGGATCTTGGATTCCGAGTGAACAATCATTTAAATCACGTGTCAAACTCTGTCGTGTCACATCACATGTCATTTTGGGGGGCATGGACTGCATGTGACGCATCCGGCCCACCAGCTGCCAGTTTGACACCCCTGATTTAAATTGAACCAATAGCTGCAGCCACCAAAAAATCCAATGCATTCCTAGGTTGCATTAACAGAGGAATAGAATCAAGTTTATGTGAAGTGTTAGTATCCCTTTAGAAGGCCTACATAAAACGACACTTGGATTCAGTTTTGGTCAAAATATAAAAATGTTAAGAAAGTGCAGAGAGAGTAACAAAGATGATTAGTGGACTAGAGCAGTGGTTGCCAACCAGTAGGGCGGGGACCACTGGTGGTCCACGAGAAAATTTTGGTGGTACGTAGAGAAATGTCACCCCCAAAGCACACCCCAAAGCAATTAATCCAGGCTGTGTGGGAACACAAGGCTTGCATCACTTGCATTGCAAACAACATAAGGTAGTGAGGGGAGAAGGGAAAGGGCGGGGGGGGACTTGCCCCATGTGCCCCACACACCTGGCTTGGCCACCGGGCTGTTTCTTTCAGCTTCTTCTGATTTTGGCTGCACACAAGGAAAGCAGCAGAAGCAGCAGAAGTCTTTCCTTCTCTCCCCTAAACTCTGCCAGAAATGAATCTTTGGGCCCCTGCAAGGCATCCTGCTCCAAGAGGCTATGCTGGCAAAGACTCATTTCTGGTGGAATTTGGGGGAGAGAAAGAAAGACTTCTGCTGCTTCTGCTGCTTTCCTTGCATGAAGTCAAAAGTCTCTCCCCGCCCTCCCATCCCCAGAACGGAGCTGGAGATCCTGCGATCCTGGTGTCCTGTGATCCCAGAATGATCGATTGGTAGGAAAATGGGGTGGGGAATTTTCCTGCAGACTTTTTGGGGGATTTTCCCAGGGTCTCTGGTCTGCGGGATTTAAAATTATGAATTTGGTGGTCCCTGAGGTCCAAAAGGTTGGCAACCCCTGGACTAGAGGCTAAAACATGAAGAATGGTTGCAGGAATTGGGTATGTCTAGTCTAATGAAAAGATGGACTAGGGATGATATGATAGCGGTGTTCCAATATTTAAGGGGCTGCCACAAGCAAGAGGAGACCAACCTATTTTCCAAAGGCCCAGAAAGCAAAGCAAGAAGCAATAGTTGGAAACTAATCAAAGAGAGAAGCAACCTAAAATTAAGGAGAAATTTCCTGACAGCGACAACAATCAAATTCTGGGTTCAGAAGTTGCGGGTGCTTCATCACTTGAAGTTTTTAAAAAGAGACTAGAGAGCAATTTGTCTGAAATAGGGTCTCCTGCCTAAGCAGGGGAATGGGTAGAAGAACTCCAGGGTCCCTTTAGACTGTGTTTAATAGCAACAAAGATGTTTTATTCCGCCGTTCCCCCGCAAGGAGAGGAAATAGCCCGGCGAACATTTTCACTGAGTTCGACCCGCCTCCTGTCCCGGCTGAGCAGTCTTTAAAGTTAATACTTAGGTCACGAAACACAAACAGCTCATTGGCCAACGCTGGCTCCACCCTCCTTACATAGCAAATTTTGACAAACGTAGCAATTATGTCCCTCGCTGCCTGCCTTAGGCCGCCGGTCGCGCGTGCCCGTTGTCTCGGAGAGAGGGAGAGAAAAAATCGTTCGCCTCTCCGGGTTGGGTGACTTCCGTGACTGCATGGCGTTTATGTGCCAGCGGGACAGCTGGGTTCAGCAGGTGCGGAAGGAGGCAGGCGAGCGCGGTGGCTCTGAGAGGCCGTGCTCGCTGCCGCTGTTCGGGGCGGATGAATAGTTTGCAGCTTTGCTCTTCCTCCGTTTGCGCTGGAAAAGGATTCTTGCCAT